CAGAATTGGATGCAGATTATCTGCCTAATATGGTTCTCGTTAGCACAAATAATATGAATACCGTTTAGAGAACAAACGGATTACAGAAAAAGAAATGAAAACATCCAGATCCCGAGCATTTGGAAAGCATGACACTGATGTATTTGTGTAACCTTTTCATGAAGAGCGATGCTGAAGTCAAAGAGGGGATTTTGATTTCCTTCATTAAAAGCTTATTAAAAGAAGAAATAGGACAGTCATTGTTTTGCTTCAATAGTTGGGGGTCACAGAGGCGGGCCTGATCTCCTCAGGATATTAATGCCTGCTTTCAGCTGGGGCAAATGAGCCGTCGCTTGAGTTAGCTGCAGCTTTATGTGCTCGTCACTAGGGATCCCCATATGTCCTGGGATCTGCGGCAGTCGGAAATGGCAGAGCTCGGCAGCAGGGAGCAGAGGGCTCTCATTGCTATTCATAACAGGTAGCTCGGCTCAATCTGCCCACAGCAAGTCTGTTTAATGTTGATCAGCTGTCCATCTGATAAACCGAATTGATATGGACATTTCCTCCAAGGGCTACCCTGACAATGACAGCAGGAGCATCGGGATGTCTTGTTAGTCTTTTTCTCCGAGCTTGAAATTTTATTAACCCTTTGTTAGAGCCGAGCCAAGCATGATTACAATACTGCGGCTGTAGGTTGTGTGAGTTTCTCCCTCGCCTCTTTGAAAAAACAGCATCAACCTTCTATTTTGTTCTCTATATGGAGAATGGCTAGCTGGTTTGTTTTCAGATTGTTTTTCTCTGCATGGAGCAAAAATTATGAATTGTAAAGGCAGCTTTTAAAACAGCTTAGGTTTTTTGTGTGTGACAAAATACATTGGGAACCTCTGTTTATCCTCTCCCCCCAACTCATCTACCTTTTGCATGCCTGCCCAGGCTGTGTGGCTCTACCAGCTCTTCTTGCTTGCTAATTGGCATGGATCACTGGCCTGACACAGCGGGGCTGCTGGGGCTCTTCTCAGGTCAGATATATTTGGGGCAGAAGGTTACTTTAGATTATATTGTTTGGGGTGGGTGCAGCACATCTGCACTGGACTGTCCAGAGGAAACAGTACGCATTTACTCAGTTCTGTGCCGGTATTGATGCAGAATCTAACCTGAGCATGTAGCAGCAGGTATATACGTATGTGGATGTATGGAGCAGTTTGGTTAGTCAATGAATCAGTGCTTGGCCACTTTTGAATAAGCACAGGGAGCATAACATGCCTTTGTACCAGGTTGCAATTTAATTTGAACTTCAAGGCCTTTTAGTCATCTGTCTAGTTGAGGGCATGCATTGTGTTTTTGCTCATATGTGAAGTCTCCATGACATAAAGGGAACTGCTGGAGTCAGAAAAGATGTGAATGTGCTGAAGATTTCGTTTAAGGGGGGCGGGGGCTGTGTGCATCTAGGTTTGCAGCATTAAGAGGATGCTCCAGTGCGTTGCTCTGTTCCCCCCTCCCCTTGTCCCTGCTCAGTTATTATGTCTGTTCATTGCCCTGTTGTAGTTCTGAGCTAAGGTGACATCTCTGGGCTCCTTGGAGTGACAGTCACTAACAATTGGGGGCTACAGGGTTGAATTGCGGGAGGAGGGGAGGAGAGGGCTGTGCTAATGACTCTTTTCATGCCTTTTCCAAAAAAATGAAAAAAATAGAGGGCAAGCCTCTCGCAGGGATTTGAAACCCCTAAATTCAGAATGTAGCACACTGTGTGTGGAATAAGAAGTGATTTGTAAGCCTATCCAAATAAAATTGGGTCTGCCCCTTTGCTGGATAATCATCTTTGCTTCTTCTGACTAAAACAACCAGTGAAATATCATTAGTACACAGTTCTAAGATGTTCAGCTGTTTTTCCTCTCCCCCCTACGCCCTTCCCTCTTGGTATTATTGAACTGCAAGGCATCCTGTTATTACTCTAACTCTAATTTGAGTAGTCATTGACTGCAGCATTCTTAAGGTGTTTGGATCGGCTTGCTCGCGACTCCCCTGCTGATACATTCTTTGTTCCTTCCCATCAGTATTTTCTGCTTGGCATTTTCTTCATGTCAGTGTCCCTCAAGCTTCTAGAAGACAAAAAAAAAAGCACCATGAGGACTCTATTGATTACTTTCCTTTTTTTTTTTTTTTTCTGCAAAAGAATTCAAAGAAAGGACAACGTTCCTCCAAATGGAACCTGTGGTACCCGCAGTTTACCTGGAAATACATAGGGGCCTGATGTGATACTTCTCTCTGCTTAACACTTCCCAGTTGTGGCTTCTAGAAGTAAATAGAAGAGCTGCACAATAATTAATAAAATACCTGTTTGGTACATAGTACTGTGGGTTTTTTCCCCTAAGAATCTATATTTTTATTCATGGTGTCAAAAATAATTCTACTTTTTCTTTGCTTTCAGTCAACGAAGTCTGGCCGAGATTACAGAACTGATCCACACTGCCTTTCTGGTGCATCGTGGCATAGTAAATATTGGTGAGCTCAAGTCGTGCGATGGCCCGCTGAAGGATATGCAGTTTGGAAATAAAATGGCTGTTTTGAGTGGAGATTTTCTTCTAGCAAATGCTTGCACAAGCCTTGCGCAGTTGCAGAATACCAAGGTAAAAAGAAAAAAATTATTCTACTGCCAGAGCAAGTAACTATTAGTGAGTCTTCGGAAAAAGAGGTCCTTTAAAAAATCAGCAGTTATGATATGTATGTATATATGGAGCATCCTTTAAAAATCAGCATACTTACATTGTAGCTGTAGATAGATTGGCAGGCTGCTGCTGCTGTGAACATGTTCATCACTGTCCTATAGAATTACTGTGGTGAGGCCTTTAGTGTACATTCTGAAGCAGTGTAGCCATAGGTAGTAATGGATGAGTGGTTAATTTGGTGAATTTACCGTATGTGCAGTGGCATCCTCCTGACATGTGGGATTACACCACCTCTGGCAGACTGCCAGCTGAAGACGTGTTTGGTTTGTTATTTTGTTTTACCTTGTGCTTTGTGAAAGGTTTGTCTGTCTTGGGGAATTCTTGGGGGAAAAGGCTTCATTTCTTTGTCTACACAGCGCTCAGGTGACTTTTTACTCTTAATGAAATTATTTTGTTAGGCATTTGGACGCCCCTGAGTATTGGATTACCCTATTAACGCGGATGTACTGGCTTCTGAAGAGCAGCTACAATCCAGCTGGCTCAGCCACACCGTTTGAAACTTTACAGGGAAATGTTTTTCATGACAAACAAATTGTATATATGTATGATCTTAGAAAATGAGACTGATGAAGACCTTAAGACTGCATAGTTGGTGGTTCTTTTCCCCAGACAGGATCAGCTATGCCAAATCATTCTTGACACATTTGTCTAGCCTGTTCTTAAAACCTCCTGGTGTGGAGAGAGATTTCTGGGTTTCCCTGCACCAGTCTAGTGTAACACGTAACTACGTGTATGGCTGAAGAGCTTAGTGTGCCATTCCAGAACAATTCTTCTTTGCAGGGGTACTTTTTATATGTCTGAAGATCGCTGAAGATCATAATGTAAAATAAATGTTTGTCATGCATGCAATTGTCAATAATCAATATAGTTTTAATCCTGAGCTTAAGGAGTCTATTGTTTTTAGATTCTCATGCTGAAGCTCCTCGTGATGGTAGTTGAATATTTCTGTACTGCTTTGATCATAAGTGTGACAGTTTCTCTCAAAAGTGGTGTCATTTGGTAACATAGAGCTGAGATTCAAGAGAAGAGACAGAAAATTAGATGTCAATCTGCTGGAATAGTGGGTTAAGCCATTATGGTGATAACTGGTAGTAAGTATTAAAAAAAAGTTTTAAATAGTGCAAAATTTTAGTCATACCATAACCAAAATGGGGTGCAATTGATTTTACTAATTATTGTTGATTTGTATCCATTCATTTTTTTTAGTACTTAGTAAGATTCTCAAGACAGACCAAAGGATTCAACCCTACATCAATTTTTTGTTTCAACATAAGAAGAATCTTTTATAAAATGTAGCACCTATTACTTTGCATTTAGTACATCATTCAGTATTGCAGCAGCAATGTATAATCCCTGAAGACTTGCCAGAAAACAAGCCTACAGTGAAATGAAGCACAAGTGCAAAGAAATACTTTTTTTTTTTTTAAAAGCAATCATTATACTGCATGTCGGAAAATTCTGCCAAAACATTTTAGCACTTTTTTTCATTTTTCTGACATCTAAATACTTTCATAGCTTCTACATACGATAAGTGGGATGCCATTATGGAAACTGATTGACTTAGTAAATTATTCTTTTTCATACGTCTAACCCTACTGGTGAAGTTAGAAAAATTGAAGTACAAGCTATAGAAATCTCTTGACAGGTGCAATGATTTAAACATACTGTATTTATTCTTTTGTAAATGATGAATTTTCAAATCTGGCATCTGTTTTTCAGCAGTGTGAAATAACTGTGACTTTTTTCCTTCATAATGTTTTGTTTTCTTTGATGTACAAAGTAAAATCACAGTACCACTTTTTTGCTGGCGTTTTTTTGGTAGCTCAGCAAATTGGCTAATGAAATGAGCAGCATTGTATTGTATGTGGTACTGACCATGGTAGGCTGTAACCTTTATAGACATGCATAGCTATTGTATAGACTAGAATTTAAACTAAAGGGGTTTTTGACATTAACTGAAACCACTGGTACCAAGATAATTTTATTGTGCTGTTAAACTCTTGTCTAAGCTTGTGTATGATGCATTTATCTCTGTGCTTCTCTCGGGGCTGACAATTAGATGTGAAATTCTGTAGTCATAATGAAATGCAGAGCTATTTTATAATTGCCAAGGGTAAAATTAGCAAAGTCAATTATTTTCCCTTAGGCTTTTCCCTGTAGATATTAAAAGGCTGCAAGGTAATTGCCTTAGGTAACACTTTGATTTTTAAATAACATTAAATATAGGAATTGTTGTTGTTAATTCGTAGTAATTTTCCTCTTCTTGCTACTGTTGTAGAATATAACTGTAATGATGTTAACAAGATTCAAGGCTAAGGGTTTGTGTTTTTTTGGGGTTTCTTTTAAACTAATGCTCATACTTCTTGTATGTTTGCTGAAGTTATGCAGAAGAAGGATTTGGGGGGGGGGGTTGGTTTTGTGGTTGGTTTTTTTTTTAAATATCTGAGTTACAAGGACTCAAGATTTCTTGAAATGTCAATTAGGGAACCTCCTGTAAGATAAATTCTGCTGTTGTGCTATTATAAAATAATCTAAAATTTTGTTTTTTGAACACACATGATAATTCAGAAGAAAGCATTCTCATTTTCTACTTCGTGAAATTGAGACATTAATTACAATTACAAAGTTGGTATTGACTGAAGCTTAGAGAAAAGTATTGAAGGTCAGATGCAACTGCATGCTACATTTTTGTAGTCATGGCAAAGTTCTACATTTATTCAGATAATAAAAACTTTCAAATGAACAGTAATTTCTTAAAAAAACTTTTACAGCTACAAAGCATTAGATTGATCAGATCACATCTATTTACAATTCTTTTGTACATTCATGTTAACTTTTTAATCACCTTATATAAACTATCCTTTTTTTTTTTTGTCTACTTTGTATTTTGGATGGTGGCTTTTCTTGGCTTGCTGATTGCGGTGATAAATTATGCTGTTGATTGAAGATAATATGGATACAACCTTACTTCAGAATTGCATCCTGTAGTAGATTGGACATTGCTAATCCATGGATTTTAGAACAGAATTGAGCCCCAAGAGGAATTGGGTTGGGGTCTTTTAGCAGTTGGTGTACCAGCAGGTGGTATAGGAATGGTGAACCTTTGACAAGGAAGGGCATGGTTGTTTTTTGCTACTTAAATAACAACACAGTAATGCCTGGTAATGTGCGGCTTTATTGGATTGGGGTGTGCTTATATGGGATGGTGGGGTTATTTTGATAGGTTTTCTCATTTCAAGGGTGCAGTGTTTTGATCCTAGGACTGTGATACAATATTTGTAAAAGTCATCGTAAACACGTAGATGTGGGAGAGATGGAAAAGTAAATGATGTTTGCCTAACAAAATGAGGTACCTCCCAACTATCTTGTGGGATATGTGACCCTATGCAGTTTTAAATAAATATGTGAATAAATTATTAAGAAGTATAAAAGGATATGTTTAAGGGTTGGTTATTTGTTGCCATGTGAAGCTAATATATCTTTAACATTCATTATCTCGCTTTGCCTAGCGAAGGATGTGGGGATGAAACTGCTAACAGCAAGTTTTGTTGCATGGAAATGCTTCTTTGACTCTGGTAGCAAAAAGTGTTACTTTTGTCTTTGATTTCTGCTTAAGTAACCTTCACTTCTTGTAATATTTTTAGGGTGGCGTTCAGATGCAAACATAGCAAAAGTAACAAGCGTTAATTGGCATTTTTGTCACCTGTCAGCCAGATACGTGGTATGGACATTTTAACACAAGTGATGTGTGAATATTGGCCATGATATTATCAAATAATGTGCTTTTTCAGGGTATGTCACAGATAAGTTGGAAGAAACCTGTTGCAGCATCAAAGCTGGAGCTTCCTAGAGCATCTGAATCATCAGTTGTCTTATGAAACTATGGAGAGGGTGCATAAAAGATGTAATTGTGACCAGTTTTGATCCTCCCACACTCTGAAGACAGTGATGCATAAAACTTCAGAAGGATGAAACAATGTATTTTAGTGCAATGCCTACTGTAATGTGCTGATGACTAAAGAAAATGATAAAATAATCTGTAAATTAATTGCTTGCAACTCCATAAGCTGATAGGAAGGCATCCCTTTGTATTTAAAAAAAAAAACAAACCAACCAACGAGCCAAAACCAAACCACCAAAACCCAATATATCCAAAACAAAAAAGCCCCCCCAAAAGAAAAGGAAAAGAAAAGGGGGGGGAGCGGAAAGAAAGAAAAAAAAAAAAAGAGAGAGAGAAAAGCCTAGCCCAAAAACCTGAAATACATGTAATGGTGGTGTTCTCCATAGTTCTTACTGAAATCTTAAGAATTACTCTATTTTTCCCACTATAATTCAGTGAGCTCATGTTGGAATGATTAAACTGTTCGCACTTCAAAATCTACAACCTGAAATCTTTGAATTGAATTTGAGAATCTTGTCTGTAAATGCAGAGCTCTGCCAGAAGACCACATTACAGAGCATTGTTTTATTAAGCATTATTTGTTCATAAATAAACAGTAGCACAGGTGTAGTATTTATATAGTGGATGCATTTCCTTATGTTAAGTTTATGTATTCCTAAAGGCATAAATGTGTTGTTGACAAAATAGGCTTTTTTTTTTTTTTGCATAAACAACAAGTTATTCATGTACGTCTTCCTATTGCAACAATCTGAATGTACACTGTGCTTCATAAAATAACTGCTTATCTTGAACTATGGTTTCTACTTTTGTAGCATCAGTTGTGGTCCTGTGGGGAAGGCTCAGTTTTGAACTTGAGCAACTTGGTTCCTTGCTGACCAGGGAAGGATATGGAGAGTGTCCCATTTCTGGAATTATGCCAGTTGGTCTTTCGATGTAAATTGATGTTTTTGAGAATTGACAAACAAGTCAGCTAGCATCTACAATTATAATTTTTAAATGT